GCTGAACTCAGGTCTCTCGCTTGCGAGGCGACTGCTCTAACCACGGAGCTACAGGACTCCGTTAAAGATCCCATTCTGCTATTTGAACAGAGAAGGGAGTTTCTCTCTCTCCCGGTGACCTGGCCAAGAATCCCCCCAAATAAAATCAGGCTGTTTTAGGGGACGCTGATGTACCACATATTGGTTCGCCAGCAAAATATGCAGTCACTGCACTTTGCAGGATATCCTGTCAAACACGCAGAGACAGCCTCCTGACTCGAAAGGCGCTGTGCTCAATGATTCTTTATGTTGGACGGAGTCTTCTCACATCGTCAAAACAGGAATTGGCTGTGAGGTGATTGTCTGGCGATCTGTGTCCAGATATAATAAAGCTAAGCTCCTTTCCTGTGTGCGTGAGCGAAATCGTCTTTGTTTTTCACGCTGGGATAACACAGGGCGAAACTCACCACAAGAAATGGCAATCATTGTCCTCTAATTCTCCCATCACAAGGCAGAATCAAGAGATTTCCTGCCCCCACCCCCAGCTCCCACACCACCACCCCCACCCCTACACCCTCCCTCACCAGTTCCCCCCCCCACCACCCCGCTACGGATTGCTGTTCATTCTGGGTAGAAAGTGTGAAACAAAATACATTTCAAGCGTTTGATTCGAACGTTGAACCCACATGAGGCATCGCTGAACGTGTCGGAGGAGATTACAACAACAACAACAACTTGCGCTTACATAGTGCCCTCCACGTAGGGCAGTGTCTCAGATCGCTTAACGGTGGCGGAGCCTGACTCCGAGCCGGGCGGTGGATTGGGGAGTGAGGAGGTCGGCGAGGTAGGGAGGTGCCAGGGAGTGAAGGGACCTGAACACGAGTGTGAGGATTAACGCGCGATGAAGGTAGGCGTTTCGAATGATGTACGCTGCACACACCCCCCACACCACCCCCTTCCCAACCCCCCCCCCCACTTCCCCACCCCACCCCCGCCTCAGGAACCCACACCCGGGGAAACGTTATTGCTTTATTACCAGTGGGACTCTCTAGCTCACGTTCCCAACATTGAGAAGCCAGCCTCTGGTCTCTGAGAACAGCTGCTGCCTCGCGGAGACGTTATGTGTATAGTGGGTTGTGATGACATGGTTCGAATGCCCAGTCACGCCCCTACGCCTCAACCCTGACCCGAGGGAGGATGGAATGAAGGGAGACATTTCCATATGTTATTGCTGTGGTGATCTGGATAGCGACCACTTCCGAGCTTTTCCAGGCACACAGACAGAGGCTCTGATGGTTTGGGTTCTGAGAGACCGGCTCAAGTGCAGAGCGAGTGCAAAGCCACAAGGCACCAGCCATGGAGGTTTCTTCCTTAAATGCGCACAACTTAATTTGGCTCTAAATTTACACTGTGGTTCAGAGAGAGAGAGAGAGAGAGAGAGACAGAGAGAACAGAGAGAGAGAGAGAGACAGAGAGACGATGGCTGATGCAGACTGTGAGCGTGAAAGTCCCACAGAGGTTGGTGCTGATATATTCCATCCCAGAGACCTTCCACCTCGCCATCCCCCTCCAACTTCAAGGCCTGTCGCCTAACTGGGCAAAACCTTAGGCAAGTTTCCTTACTCCACACACCTCTGTCTCCCTAGCAGTGAGCAGGACCCCGGCTGTTAGTCAATTGGCGGATCACTTTCTGGGGGTAATAAAACCTCCCGCGCAAAAAAAATTGGTTCACTCAATCCACGGCTGTTTGAGGGACACTGCCGTGCGCAATTAGTTGCCACCTTTTGCCCACCAAAGTACACAGTCAATTCACTTCGCAATACAATAAGTGAAGCTCTTTCAGACCTCTCGACGACGTGATAAGGTGCTATATCAAAATGCAAGGACTATTTCTGTCGGGAAACGTAAGCGAGTCCATAAACATACAATAAATGAGTGCTAAAAGATGACAGCCTTTCTTAAAAAATCGTCACGGTCGAAAGCACAGTTTCTCCCTCTCTCTCTATCTCTTGTTTGTTTCCGCACCAGCGCTACGTGCGAACACCTTAATGTCACCTGTCACACAGTCTGTCAGCGAGGCCATTAAAGCCCGTCTTTTAAGCATCCGACATCTGTGACCCTTTGTAATGGTGGACGTCACAGTTCTCTTCAAGCCTTACGTAAATGGAAAATATTAATGCTATTCACTCAGGCTGGTGTCTCGCTGCCTGTCCCCAAGCACAGACTCTGACTGTTCCCCTCGAGTCTCGTCAAAGCTGCCTACTCAAAGTTAAATGAAACCCAACCTGCACGAATGACTCCACGGGTCACCCTCCTACCCCCACCCTCCATCCTTCCTGATTCCAACCCCCAGCTCGGGTCCAAATCCCTGACTGTCCAGCGCCTTGGGACGTCCTCCCAAAGAGAAAGGCTCTGTGTAAATGTTCTTTGTTACTGTTGCTGGTGGTGTGAAATGCTGGGAAATAAATCAACGCCACTTTTTACTCGGGCGGGTGATGAATGAGACTGACGATAACCACCACGCCACTGAATATTGTGTTGCCCGCTATCTCGAAATGCCACGCTTGTTCACAAAGAGAAGGAAGTTCCTCCCTTTGTGTACCGTCCGACAATCTACTTGCCCTACAACCCTGATAAAATTGGTCGTTCCCTCCGTGTCTGTCTGTCTGTCTGTCTGTGGGACGTGTGGATGTGTGTAAATTGGCTGCTGCGTTCGCCTTAAAAACGCACACGGTTGCTAGACTTCACGGTAAATCCGTGAAGCTCTTTGAGAACCTTCGACGATGTGGTCAGGTGCGAAGATTAATGCTGTGAGAATAATAATGAGCTGTGTGCGATGTGTTGATTATATTATTATTATTATTATTATTATTGTTATGGTGACTGCTGCCCTCCCGTGGCCACATAAGGCAATCAGCACACGGCAACATGTGCTGTACCGTATATGTGCTTCAATACTTAATGCTGGCACACCGAAGAAACTAATAATAATAACAATAACAATCCTTGCATTTGATACAGCGCCTTATCACGTCTTCTCGACGTCTCAAAGCGCTTCACAGAATGTAATTACCTGTATATTTGTGGGCGAAACGCGGCAGCCGCTTGCGCACAGCAGCGTCCCCCGCAAACAGTCGTGGATTGAAACGACCGATTTATTATTGTTTCATTTCTTTTTGAGGGATTATTATCAGGCGTGTGGAGCAAGGGAACTAAGTGCAACAAGGACGTAAGGGAGTTCAATAACACAACGCTTTCTAATAGATTATTAAATCCCGATTACAATCACTGTTACTGTGGTTACCATTGCTCACCTCCGGCCGGGATTTTATCAAATAACCAATCTTATTTGGGGGATTTGTTGGCCAGGACACCAGGAGGGAAGCTCCCTTCTATTTTCGAGTAGCGCCGTGGGATCTTCTAAACGTCCACCTGACCGGGCACAGACAGGACCTCGGTTTAACGTCTCATCCGAAGGACGAACAATGCAGCGCTGCAATGGAGCTTCAGTCTAAACCGTGAGCTCCAAGTCTTGATGCAGGACTTGAAACCCATAACCTTCAACAACAGCAACAAATTACTTTTGTAGAGCGCCTTTCACGTCAGGAGGACGGCCCAAGGCGCTGTTGAGTTAAGGTTCCCGTGGCGCTACTCAAAAAGAGGAAGGAGGTTCTCTCTCCCAGTGTCCTGGCCAACAATCATCCAGATAAAATGGGTCTTCGAGATGGTGCTGTGTAAAAATTGGCTGCCACGTTCCCTTACAAAATACACAGCGACTGCATTTCACAGTGAATCCTTTGGGATGTCTCGATGGCGCGGCAAGACAGCGTGGCAAGGACTGTTATACTTATTATTTATAAGGTGTTTCATCCATAACAGTGTTATGCCCTCAGATAACTGTGTTCAATTGGATTATAATTATAATAATAATAATCCTTGCATTTGATATAGCACCTCATTCACATCGCTGAGACTCCTCAAAGCGCTTCACAGGACACACTGAATACTGGCTCGAGTGTGTATTTTGTGGGAAGCCAGTTGCGCACAGCGATGTCCCACAAACAGCCGTGGAGTGAGCAACCAATTTTATTAGCGGGATCGTTGACCAGGACACCGGGAGAGAAAAATGCCCTTCTGTACTCGAACAGAGCCGCGAGATCTTTAACGTCCACCCGAACAGGCAGACGGGACCTCGGAAGGACGTCGCCTCCAACAACGCAACACAAGCTGGGACGTAACGTATATATTTTAGGTCCACAAGCCCTCATGTTGCCTCGACGGTAATTTTGGCCACGGAAGTGTGGGACCGCTACCCTCTGCTGGTGCTAAACGCTCACTACGAGCAACTCTTGCGTTAAAAGTCAATAAGACTTAAAAAAAAAGGCAAAATAAAACACACTGCAGAGGCAGGAAATCTGAAACGCGGACATAAAGCGGCCGGGAACACTCAGCAGGTCGGGCAGCATCTACGGAGAGAGGAAAGTGAGTTAACGTTTCAAGGCCATGAGCTTTCGTCAGGACGTCCGATGAAATGCCGTCGACCTGACAAGTTAACTCGCTTTCCTCTCTCCGTAGATGTTGTCCGACCTGCTGAGTGTTCCCGGCCACTTCCGTATTTAGATTTAAATAGTCGGTCGTACTCTCGCCTCCGAATCAGAAGGTGTGGGTTCAAACCCACCCCCCCACCACCATTAACCTTCAGTCACGCGTTTGACACATGGTCTCGAGATTTCAGGCTCTCTGGGCCGCAAACCAGCGTGAAGGGCGCTATATAAATGCAAGTTGTTGTCGTTGATGTTGTCTCATCCAAAGGACAGCACTTCTGACAGTGCAGCGCTCCCCCAGAACTGCATTAGACTGAACGAGTTCCAAGCCTCGACGCTTGAGGTGGGTGGTGGGGGGGGGGGCTTGAACCCACAGGCCTTCTGACTCGAGAGAGAGAGAGAGGCGAGGGTGCTACCGACCGAGCCAGGCTGACACGCATCCTCGTGACATTGCTGTTGCGGGAAGAGGTTTCTCACCTGATTTATGGACATGTTTCAGACAGGACAGCGAGGCGTTTAATCTGGCGCACTCCTCGGTGTTTGCCCCATACTTCTTGGCGGTTTCACACACGTCGCTGTCGGTCATTTCCAACAGGATTTCCAGCGTCAGTTGGCCAAGAGGTATTTCCTACGGGAAAAAAAAATGTTACGAGAGAGAAGGAGATTGAGAGAGAGACGGAGTGAATGGCTCACAAAATATACAGTCAATTCACTTTACAGTATATTCTGTGAAGTGCTTTGAGACATCTCAATGCAAGGATTATTATACGGATTATTGTAAACTTGGGATGCCTTGTCTAACCCCTAAACCTGGCAGACTCTCGCCACCAAAATATAATAATAATAATAATCCTTGCATTTGATATAGCTCCGTATCATGTCATTCACAGAATTGGCAGGGGGGGAGGTTTTTAACCCCCAACCCACTACTCGCTGCCTCCACTCAACTGGCTCCGGCTTTCTGGATGGCCCTCAGACCCTCTGTTCTACCATTGGTGGCTGCACTTTCAGCCACTACGCCTGCAAAACTCTTCCTCTATCCCTCCCTCCGCCTTGTCCCTTCCTTCCCCATCTTCAAGTCACGCCTGAAGACCTTCCTCTTCGACCGTGCTTACGGTCAACCCCCACCCGGCTTGGTGTCACTCTCAGTCACTGTCGAGCGCTCTCTGGGACCCTGCATGAAGGGCGCTATATAAATGCAAGTTGATGTTGTTGTTGTAGCTTGCCATTTGAGAGCACTTTCTGTCCAGCTGATTGTCCAGCTAGAACCACCCCTGTCCATTACGGCTTTGACTTGCATGGGTAACAGTTTGTGAAGGGCATTGGGATGTCTTGATGACATGGTAAGACCCTACATCAAATGCAAGGATTATTGTTATTATTATAAAATTGCAATTGGAATAAAAAGGGGAGAGCACCAACTAAACAGACAGCTTTCCGTGTCTGTACTCAGTCATTAACCTTGTCTCCTCCTTGGTGTCAAAAGAATAATAATAATTTGGTTGCTCAATCCACCACTGTTTGTGGGACAATGCTGTGCGCAGTTGCCCACGGAATACACAGTCACTCCACTTTGCAGGTGATTCTGTGAAGCGCTTGGAGACGGCTCAGCGGCGTGGTAAGGCTCTATAATCAAGGATTATTTTTGTTATTATTAATATTTTGAACACAAGAGGATTTTCTCACGTCCCGTCACAAAGGGAAATAAACCCCCACTGTAACCACCAAGTGAAAGATTGGTTGCATTGGCCATGTTACTGACCCCCAACTCCCACCCACGTTAGCAGAAGAAATGAAGAAATGAGGCTCCTTCAAAAGACAATTGGCTACGAAAGGTCAACGTTGACTCAATTTCCTCTCTCCAGAGATGCTGCCTGACCTGCTGAGTGTTTCCCAGCGACTTCTGTTTTGGTTTCAGATTCCCAGCATTGTGCCTCTTGTTTGACAATTGGCTGCAGACAGACAGCACTATTGTAAATAGTTGGGATTATAGTTTAAGAATCATTAGTATTGATCAAGTAGCGAATAGATGAATTAAGTGGAATGAACTAAAGAAATAAAAACTGCCATGTGGCGTACACACACACAAAGTCCTAGTAAAGAGACACTGAGCTAGGCAGGAACATGACCCATAGCCAGTGAAGATAAGGATAGCTGGATCAGGAGGATGGATGGCAGGCCCATCTGCGCTTACAAGGGCATGCGACCTACGGGCAAGAGAGATAGGAACCTGGGATAATTGGACCGGGAGAATGGATGGGAGGCCAACTGTGTGGGCAGGGATACAAAATTAGCAATTAAAACTGAGGAAAAGCTTGAGATCAGCAGGTCACGTGGAGGGAGTCCGAAAGGAGGACAATGAGTTACAGAAACTTCAAGGACATGGAGTCAGACAGACTGGTCGGGCTCGACAAGATGGAATAAGAAGGAGTTTTGTTCTTTTGCAGAAGGTATCACTCGTTGGTACAAGGAAAAAAAACACCTTGAAGATAGGAAAAGAATTCCGGGGCAAAGAGCAGGGCTTTAGAACTGACAATTAGAGAAAGAAGTAAATGAGAGGAAAGGAGATAGAACGCAGATGGCTGGCGAAAAAGGGTATTAAAAAAAACGGTCGCCAAAACTTAGAAATACTCGAGCCTCCGAGGAGAGGAAGGGGACGAACCTCTACCGGGAGGAAGAAGAGCACCTTTGAGGGAAAGAGGACAAGTCCAACTCTCGCCAGAGGGGACCGCAAAGAGGACAAGTTCAGCCCTTGACAGAGTAGTCCACCAAGTGACGTTTGCGGCTGGAAGCAAAACCAGAGACCGTGTTTAACTTTAGTGCCAGCCTTAGAACTTCGTCACGACTTCCTGCCTGCTTGGTCGTATCTCTCCTACTTACTAAAACTCGCGCCCAACATACATACAAAACAGTTCGAGATTATTTAGGCACATTTCATATATCACATCATTTTTTTATATGTATGTTTGGAATTTTAGCATTGAGTGTGCCTTGTTAAAATAAGCGCTGTAGTATTGTACCTTGTTAAGATAGTGCTTTCGTAGTCATTTAAGCGCGACGAGTAATGATAATGTGTCGGGTGTAATGTGACGCTTATGCTTGTGCGGTTTTACAACCGCTGATAAAACGTTTTAATGATATCCTTGGCGTGGTTTCCGACAAATGCTTGAACCCAATTTCACACATTGGGGATGAAGCCACAATGGGGAAGGCTGGAAGCAAGCACAAAGCTCAGGCCGAAATGGTATTGCTTTTCTCTCCATCTCTCTGTGTGTTCACAATCTCTGGAGTAACACTGGCCTCTACTGGAGCGCAGGACTATCTGCAGAGTGTGGAAACGAGCAGAGAAATATCCTGCTCTCTGTGTCCGCACCGGGTAGCTAACAATCGTGATTGCAGGGGGAGGGGTTGGGGTGGGGGGCCTGGTAATTCTGGAAGGATGGGATCAGATGGGCCGAAGGGTCTTCTTCATCCGATCAGGAGTCCTGTAACTCAGTGGTTAGAGCGCTCGCCTCGCAAGCGAGAGACCTGGCTTTGATTTGTTGGCTAAGTTTCCTTACTCCACACGCCTCTGTTCACCGAGCTGTGAGTAGGAACCCTGTCGTTTGTCGATTGACGGATCGCTTTTCCGCGGGTAATAACCCCTTCGAAAAAAAATGACAATCGTAATAAATCGGTCACTTCAATCCACGACTGTTTGTGGGGACGCTGCTATGCGCAATTGGCTGCCGCGTTTTGCCCACAAATGGTACAGTCAATTCACTTGACAGTATATCCTGTGAAAGCGCTTTGAAATGTCTCGAAGACGCGATAAGGCGCTGCATCAAATGCAGGGATTATTATTATTATTAATTATTATTAGCTGGCCAGATCTTGTGACCTGGCCAAACCTCACCAAATCTCTGCCTGAACTGAGTTTGAGCGTTAGTGTTCGAGCCACGGGTGCGAAGTTTACCTCTGTCACCTCCTTCCGGATATTCACAATGCGGAACCAGTCCATCAGGTGAGGAAACCCCTCCAACTCAGCGCTTCGCTCCTGCAGGGAAACTTTGCGTTTACAGGAAAGCTGACGGTTGAAGTATTTCACCAGTTTGCCCTGAAAAGGTGTGGGGTGGGGGGGGTGGGGTGGAAAGAAAAGAACAAGACAAAAAGGGAGCATTACCTAGGATTGTCCACCAGGCAGTCATTTGCCAAACTAACCAGCCACCAAACGCCCATTGAATTGATCGGGATTTAACCAGTCGTTAAAGATCCCACGGCACTTTTCGGAAAGAGAAGGGAGTTTCTTTCCCAGTTGTCTTGGCCAACCATCCCCCCCCCCCACCATCATCATCATCATCAACAACAATAATATTATACTTGTTTCGTGCCTTTCATGTCAGGAGGACATCCCAACACCATTAGTCATTCGCTTCACCACTGTTTGCAAGGCATTGCTGTGCCCAAGTCGGCTACCGCCTTCACCCACACGTTGTGATAGAATGTGTGTTCTATAAATCATAAAAAATAATAATTCTGAATTGGTCGCTTCAATCCACGACTGTTTGTGAGGACGCCGCTGTGCGAAATTGGCTGCCGCGTTGCGTCCACGAAACATAGTCAGTTCACTTTACAGTATGTTCTGTAAAGCGCTTTGAGACATCTCGAAGACATGATCAGGCGCAAAATCAAACGCAAGGATTATTATTATTATTGTTGTTGTCACGGAGGGGAACCTTTTACTGAGGTGTATGAAAGTTTCAAATGGGTTTAAAAAAGTAAAAGCCAGAACTATACTTTCAGATGCAACGAGGCCGTTAATAATAATAATCCTTGCAATTGATACAGCGCCTGAGCATGTGGTTGAGACGTCCTAAAGCGCTTCACCGGATATACTGTAGAGCAAATTGACTGTATAGTTTGTGGGTGAAATGTGGCAGCAAATTGCGCGCAGCAGTGTCCCCACAAACAGTTCCTAATTGAGTGACCGAATCTGGAATGTAATTTTTTGGGGAAGGATCGGGGCGAGCAATCAGGTCAGAGCGGAGGTGGAGCCTGGCGATCAGCATAAAAATAGCGGCGGAGGTAAGCTCTCTGAACTGTCGGAGCGACGAAAAAAAGGAAAAAAAGAAAAAGTGACGTAGGTGTGACGTCATTTTTTTCAACAGCAGAACCAGGAACAAACATCGACAAACTGTCAGAAACTACAACACTGACAGCGAATTAAAAACCAAAAAATAAAAAAAAACATATTGGAAACACTGCGTGAGAAGATGATGTGGGAAGCGAAATGCGAGGACTGTGACATGTGGGAGATAACGAAGGGCGCCCTGAGCCCGGGCGATTTCATCTGCAGCAAGTGTCCGCAACTCAGGACGCGCCAGCTGAGAGTAGCGGAGCTGGAAGCCAAGGTGCAGACACTGCGCTCCATCTGGGACACCGAGAGGTTCCTGGACAGTATGTTGGAGGAAATTATCACTCCCCTGAGGCTCAGGAGATGCTTGCGTCCGGTTAATGCTCAGGGACTACGATGTTTTCATCAGTCCTGCAGATAATGGGACCCCTGAGAGAGGGGTGGTCTTCAAACTTGATCAACGGATGTGAGTATATTCCTAAAATGCATACAGGACAACTTTCTTGATCAGTACGTTTCCAGCCCAACAAGGAAGGAAGCAGTGCTGGATGTAGTTCTGGGGAATGAAGTAGGACAAGTGGAGCAGGTTTCAATGGGAGAGCATCTGGGCAATAGTGATCATAACATCATTAGATTCAAAGTGCATATGGAAAGAGACAAGGAACCATCTAAGGTAAAGATATTCAACTGGAAGAGGGCAAATTTCAGTGAGTTAAAAAGGGACCGAGCCAAGGTGGACTGGAAAGAAAGATTGGCAGGTAAAACAACTAAAGAGCAGTGGGAAGTCTTCAAGGATGAGATAGCTCGGGGACAAAATAAATACATTCCCACAAAAGGGAAAAGTAGGGCTTCCAAACCTCCGTGGATGACGAAGGTAATTGTATCTAAATGAAGCAGAAAAAGGAGGCGTATGACAAATGTCAAACCCAAGATACAGAAGACAACCAAATCGAATATAGGAAGTGCAGAAGAGGTTTGAAAAAGGAAATAAGAGGGGCAAAAAGATTATACGAAAAAAGGTTAGCGGGTAACATTAAAGGGAATTCTAAAATATTTTACAAACATATCAAGGAAAAAAGGCTAGTCAAAGGTAGGGTGGGGCCAATTAAGGACCAAGGGGGAAATCTTATTGTGGAGGCAGAGGGCATGGCTGATGTGCTGAATGAGTACTTTGCATCTGTCTTCACAAAAGAAGTGGATGCACCAAATGCCGCAGTATCGGAGGAGAGGGTAGAGGAAATGGATAGGATAAGTATAAACAGAGAGGAAGTACTGAAAAGGTTGACTGTGCTGAAGGTAGATAAGTCGCCCGGTCCGGACGGGATGCAGCCGAGGTTACTATGGGAGGCACGGGTACAAATAGCGGAGGCTTTGGCTACAATTTTTCAATCTTCGTTGGACACAGGAGTGGTGCCCGAGGACTGGAGAGTGGCCAATGTGACTCCCTGTACAAAAAGGGACAGAAGGACAAACCTGGGAACTCCAGGCCAGTCAGCCTAACATCAGTAGTGGGGAAACTCCTGGAGACTATAATCCGGGACAGAATAAATCTTCACTCAGAAGAATATGGGTTAATTAGGGACAGCCGCATGGATTTGTTAAAGGCAAATCTTGTCTAACAAATCTAATAGAATTTTTCGATGAGGTAACGGAGAGAGTGGATAAAGGTAGTGCAGTTGATGTAGTTTATATGGACTTTCAAAAGGCATTTGACAAAGTGCCACATGAAAGACTTGTAAGAAAGATAGAAGCCCATGGTATAAAAGGGACAGTGGCAGCGGATCCAGAACTGGCTGGGAGACAGAAAGCAGAGAGTTGTGGTGAACGGCTGCTTTTCTGACTGGAGGGAAGTGTACAGTGGTGTCCCCCAGGGATCGGTATTAGGACCACTGCTCTTCTTAATATACATAAATGATCTGGACTTGGGTATAGCAAGTACCATTTCCAAGTTTGCGGACGACACAAAGTTAGGTAGGGGGTAAACAGTGAGAAGGATAGGAGCCAACTGCAGGAAGACATAGACAGAATGGTAAAATGGGCAGACACATGGCAGATGAGTTTCAATGTGGAGAAATGCGAGGTAATGCATTTTGGTAGAAAGAATGAGGGGAGGCAATATAGGCTGGTAATACAATCTTAAGGGGGGTAAAAGAACAGAGAGACCTGGGGGTGCAGGTAAATGAATCCTTGAAGGTGGCAGGACAGGTAGATAAGGCTGTAAAAAGGGCAAATGGGATTCTAGGCTTTATAAATAGGGGCATAGAGTACAAGAGTCAGGAGGTTATGATTAACCTATATAAAACACTGGTTAGGCCTCAGTTAGAATACTGCGCCCAGTTCTGGGCACCACACTATAGGAAGGATGTTAAGGCATTGGAAAGGGTGCAGAGGAGATTTACGAGGATGGTACCAGGAATGAGGGACCTTGATTATGAGGAAAGGCTGGAGAGGCGAGGATTATTCTCATTGGAGCAGAGAAGGTTACGGGGAGACCTAATAGAGGTCTTCAAAATCATGAGGGGATTTGATAGGTTAGAAAGGGAAAAACTGTTTCCACTGGTGGGTGTGTCGGTGACTCGAGGTCACAGATTCAAAATAGTATCTAAAAGAAACCGAGGGGAGGTGAGAAGAAATTTATTCACGCAGCGAGTTGTTCGAATCTGGAACGCATTGAGGCCGATTCGATAGCTACTTTTAAAAAGGCGGTGGATGGGTATTTGAGGGTTTGCAGGGTTATGGGGAAAGGGTTGGGGAGTGGGATTGACATTAATTGCTCTATTCAAAGAGCAGGCACAAACTCGATGGGCCGAATGGCCTCTTTTTGTGCTGTACAATTCTATGATTATCACCCGAAGAAAGCAATGCCCCAATCGACTAACAACTGGGTTCCTACTTATTGCTAGGTTAAGCAGAGGCGTGAGGAGTAATGAAACTTGCTTAAGGTTTTGCCATGTCCAGGAATCGAACCCGGGTCCTCTCGCTTACGGAGCGAGTTCTTTAACCAACACCCCACGTTGCAATTGGCTGCCGCTTTTCGGCCTCAAAATACACAGTCAATTCACTTTACAGTATGTTCTGCGAAGGGCTTTGAGATGTCTCAACGACGTGATAAGGCGCTGTATCAAATGCAAGGCTTATCATTATTAGTTTTATTATTATAATAAAACAGTTCCCTGTTCTGTCGCCCCAGCCACACACACACACACACACACACACACAAACACCCAGCGACACCCACCCACACAGTTTGCTTTGAACAGATAATTTACTCATTGCAGTAGAGTGCAGTAGCCACAATGCCTGCTTAGGCAAACCGTATCAAAGCTGCGATGCTGTTTAATTAAGTAGGTGTTAAATTTCCATCCAGTCTGTCACCCAGACCCATGTTCGGGTTTCTGGTCAGCGAAAATGCAGCCGACTGCACGTTTCTTACAAGGAAATATTTCTTTCACTCTGCAGGAAATTTCAAAAGCGGTCAGTAATCAGTTCACACCTGCGGTGCGTTGCATTGTCAGGGGTGCTGTTCTTCAGATGAGACATTAAACTGAGCTGTTGTCTGCCTGTTCAGGTGGACGTTAAAGATCTCCCGCCGCGCTGTCGGGAAAAGAGAAGGGAGTTTCTCTCTCCTGGTGTCCTGGCCGACAATTCCACCCCCCCCTCCCACCCCAGCCGCCTCCACCCACCAAATAAAATTGGTTCATTCGTTTCACGGCCACGCTTCGCCTACAAGATACACGGTCCTTCCGACGTAAGAAAGTGCTCTATCAAATGAAAGGATTATTATTATTACCTGAAATGGACATGACCTAACAACCCTAACCATCTTAATAAGATTCGCCTGCAAAAATACACTTTACAGTGAATCCCATGAAGTGCTTTGAGACACCCACCTGGCGTGATAACAAATTTAGCAAGATCATTTTTTTTACGAAACTATGACTACAACTATTTTGCCATAACCTATAATAATAATCTTCCCGTTT